GGGTGGCGCGGGGCCGGTCTGAGCCCGGCGGGATCTGCCCGACCACGGCGCGAGCGCCTGGGGCTGTGCTATCTCCCGTCCCGGGAGCTGCGCCGCTGGCTGCAGGTGAGCCCCGGGTTGTTTGGCTTCAGGCCTGCAGGCTGTGAATTCAGAGCATTCAAGCGTCCCCGAGCTGATGTCAAGGACAAATAATGAGAAACGGGGAATCTCTGCAGGTCTCCGTGACAAAATTTGGCACATCCTGGTTTAGTGGGCAGTGCTCTGAGTAAAGAAGCAATGATAGAACTTGCTTGTGGCCACACAACAAATCGGTAGCAGATCAGGTGTCCTTTGGCTCCCAGTTCCATGCCTGGTGTGGCTGAAGGGTTTCCTAGGGAATGGCACACAGGTGCCAGGTAGAGCACAGGGACCACAGATCCCCTGTGATTCTGCCAATCAATAACTGAAGCCTTGGTGCTCTCTCACATAATTTATTTGTCATTTGTCAGTGATCGGTCATTGATTTAATTGCACCATGAATTATTAACTGTGAAAATTCGCTTTACTAAACACATAGGATGACTGCTGTGGCTTTGTCTTGATATCCTTCCAAATGGGTAAGAGTGATCCTAAAAGTCGTTGTGTCTGGCTCTGAGTGTAGTGCTGTGGGTAAGCTGTCAGCTGAGAACAAAGACACTGCTAGTAAATAATAGTGGTAATGATCATAGCTTAAAAGCGTAGATAAATTTGGGATTTTTCCATTTTTCTGCTCTATATGGTCCCTCACTTTAAAATGCTAGTCAGTGAGAAGCACAGAAATATTTGATTGTGACTTACTGCTTTTAGAAATTGGAAAAATGTAATTGAAGTATATTCTCATCTCTGAGTGCAATCAAGATAAAGAACATTAATCAAAAAAAAAGGAGACACCCATTGAAAAGCTGTTGCCAAATTAGGATGCTGCTGTTTGTTAATGACTCCAGGGAAGGTCCTATCTCTGGAACATCAGTGTTGGCGAATCTGAGGAGATTGCTTCACTGGAATCAGTCTCGATGGGGCATGAATTTGGTAAAATCGGCTCAAATTTAGGTGCAAGAGAGGATTTTGAGCAAATTAGTTAAGAAAGTCAGGAACAAACTGTGGCCAACCAAGCATTCTAAATAACCATAAATATAGAATTACTGACCTAACTGTGACATGTTGCCACTGGCTGTAATGCCAGAGAAACAAACGTGACACTCATCTTGAGAAAAGCTTCAGAACTACTCCTGGAAGCTACAGATCAGTTAGTCTGGGTTCTGTGCCAGAATAGGGTCTGCAATTCTAACAAAATCCAGCATTTTTACAGAGAAGGATAAATGGGCAGAGAAAAAGGAGTCCCCAGGAGCCCCCAGAAAAGGGATGTGATGACTGTGACATATGCGCTGCATGGAGCTGCCTGAGGCTGGTGCTTACTCTTTGCCATGTGTTTTCCTAACATTGATTTTGTCAGTTCTGCACTTCTGCCTGTTGGAGAGGTTTTAGAGGTGACATTTGTGTGTGGTTCTTAAACCTGAACCTGCGAGAAAACTGCTGAGACAAGAACATCTGTTACCCTTTTGCTGGTATCATGTGCAGGAGCAGAGGCCAAACGGGACCAGTGGTTGCTTTGCTGGAGTGTTCCTGGCTGTTCCCAAGGCACTGTCTGTGCTGGTGCTTATGGCTGCACGGGTATGCAGGGCTGGAGCATAGGCCTCTCCAGGCAGCAGCACAGGCTCCTCCGAGCAGCACAGCACAGCCAAACTCCTGTGGGTCTGCTTACATTCTCTGTAATTGTTTAATGGGTTTGGTTCAGGCCCAACACATTTCCTTATTTCCTCCAATACCCTTTTGAACTTTGAATTTAATCCAGCATTTCTGAGGACTAGTCTGTCCACAATTTAAATGAGAAAATACTTGCACTGAGACTTCTGTGGAACAGAAGTTGCCACATCACTGTGCTCAGGTGGGAGCTGCATTTCACCTCATTATATGGTCCAGAAAATCTTAGATGGAAGGAAATGAGTGAAAAGGAATTGGATTGAGTTTCTCCTCTGCCTTGACATGCAGTTGCCAGGTGATGCCTTAAATCAGCACTTAGCACAATTGGTGGAATCTGGTGATTTCAAATGCAAACTCTGGACTAAAGAAGTGATGTGGAACAGTTGCTATAGTACCAGTGTTTAACCAACAGGCATAAACTGCATTGTTTGTTTAAAGTTTAATTTATTGTTGGCAGCTACCTGTGAGGTTATTATGGAACACCACGTAGAATTCCTGTAAATCCATGATCTTTTTCTTTAAAAATAATTGTTCATTCTTTTTCTGAGTGTTTTTGTGTGTGGCAGCTCAGCCTGGAAATAGACATTTAACTGAATTATCCAGCTGAGAGGGATGGAATAGAGGTATGGTGGCATTTAAATTTACAGCCTAAGGAAATGAGAGATCAGTCTCTTGTGTAACTACAGCACATCCTGCCCAGAGAGCCTAAAGGTCAGGCTGAACGTGTTATGCAAGATGTACTCGAGTGTGTAAATTGCACAAATGTGAATGGATTTAGAGTATAACACACTGCAGCCTACAGTGACCGACTTTGTTACTTGTCCTGTTTTCCAAAGGGTGAAGTAGGATACAGTTGTGCTAAGAACTGTTTAAAAATACTTCCGCTAATTATGGATGCTTCAGTTCTTGCGTTCAACTCTTATATCTGAGGTTCAGTTTTTGGAAGCTCTAATCTTTGGTAGCTGTGATGCCTGTGGTGGGGCACTGGCACAGGTTGCCTAGAGCAGCTGGGGCTTGAATGGGTCTTGGAGCAACTTGGGCTAGTGGAAGGTGTCCCTGCCACCAACAGGGTCCCTGGTAGGGTGGCTGAGGACCTGGGTCTGTGCTGCTGGAATCCAGCTCCAGGTGTTGTGTGGCATGGGACATGCCCAAGGTCAAGGTATATCACCCCAGGAGGCTGCTGTGGGAGCTGGTTGCTGGAGGAAGCTGTTGGTGCTGGGACTGTTGGCCCTGTGCTGTGGTGGTGGCACAACATTCCACACTGAGCTGCTCAGCCTTACATACACGTCACTTGTTTCTGATATGAATTTTCTGGAGGTCGAAAGACCTTGCTTTTACATAATCTGATGGGCATTTATCTAACCAAATGCAGGGCATGATTCACCAGGGCAGTGTTTTGTGCAGCAAACTATTGGGTAGGTCTTTTTATCGTAAACTGTAATAACTTGTCGGTCAAGGGGATTATATGCATCTGTTTTGATTTTATTGCAGGTTTCTTGCAACCTACAACAGCCTTACAGACAAACACCTGGCTGGATATTTCAGCAATGCCAGGATAAGAAGACACCTTCAGAGATCAGGACTGGTGAGACTGAAAAGTTTCCTTCAACATTCAGTTCAGAATGTTTTAATGCTTTTGTTCTCTATTGCTTTTTGCTCATTGGAGTTTCCCTCTGCAAAGTCATTCAGTTTGCAAATATACAGCATGATATTGATTCACTCAGGGGTTTTATGCTGTGAAATGTAAGCATCTTTGACTCAACCAATTATTTAGATAGTTCCAGTGTTATTTTTCGAAAGTGTGTAATGGAAAACTGAAGGCTTTGGTAAAGGTGAATGTGCTGAGCATTTTAAAGGACACTGATGCACTCCTAGGTGTGACTCTGTTTTACACAGGCAAGTGCAGCCCTTAGCAGTAGGAAAGTGAGTGTTTAATTCCCTCCACCCCCTTGGGCAATGACCTGTGAGGACTAAGGCTGCTGGAAATGTGGCTGGTGCTCCCTTCATTTGGCTGGTGAGACTCATCACTGGCATCAAACCCAGTCCTGTACTGGAAGGAGAGTTCAGCACCATGGCAGGAGCAGAGGTGGCAAATAACCAGGAGGAGAAAGTGATCTTCCTGGGAAATTGCACTGCTTCAAAACATGCTTTATTCTGTCTTCTTCTTCTCAGTAACATTCTATTTGTGTATGGCAGATCTCAAGGAGTGGAAGAATAATACCTGAGAAGGAGTACAGGCTCAATGCCATGAGAAGGGACCACCAGAGATACGTCCAGGAGTGCCTTGCTCGCGCCATATTTCACAAGGTCCTTGACATGGAGGTATGCCACAGACATGTGAGCCTTCTCAGGTGCATCTCTGCTGACAGCCAGGGGCTGTTGACTTGTCCTGGACTGTATGTGCTCTCGTGCTCCCCTGGAAAGCTCGGCCTGCTGGGAAAAAGGACAGTCTTCATGCTCGACATTCACCACATGAAACCTCCATGGGCCTCTCATTGTCAAACTGTGCTGTCACGAGAGCAAGCACTGTCCTGGCTCCCTCACAGCCCTTTGGGAGCATTTACATTATGGGATGATATTCACAGGGAGAGTTTGCTTAAAAAAATCCGAATAAAAGCCAAACAGTTTGAACACATTTGTATATATCAACTGAGTACAAAATCTGGGCATATTCCTGTGATGTATCAAGTATGGAGTTGGTCCCTACAACTTTACCAGTGCTCAGGGGTTCCCTTGGCTGTGTGTATATATGCAAGTGAAATATAAATGGATTTAATCCACTGTAGTTTTAGTAAGGGCTAAATGAGTTAGAAGGAACAGGGGAGGAAGGCATGGGACAAGCAGGACAGAAACAAGTGTTCTTGCACTCACTGACATCTCATAACACCCGTTAACGGGGTTTCTCTCCCTCTTACATTGGCAGCGACACCATCAGCTGGAAGTAAAAAGGAAACTTGAAAATTCTGTGAGGAAGGAGAAGGTGCAGAAAATCAAGGTAAGGCTTGAGCACTGCTGGGATCTGGCAGCTTTGCCTGGTGTTGAATAACCGCCATGAGCCTGGCCAGAGATTCATTGAGCCAGGGGCTCTGTCTCTGAGGTTAATGGAAAAGCACAAGAAACAGACAAGTTATATCACCTCTTTCCTCTGTCCAGAAGTTCAGGAACTTCTGTTTATGCACCTAATTCCTTCTGAATTGAGTTATTTTGACTCTGCAGTGTTCTTGGTTGGGGGATTTAATCATGAGTTCTATGAAATTGTACCTTCTTGCATTTCTGCATGGTAATTAGTGTATCTGCTGACTAATATCTCTGTTCGATGCTCCCTTGTTGTCAGCATGAAAAAAGGTTAATAACTCTTCTCCTTTTCCAAGGCATCTGTGGTTTTACACACCTTCTTAATGTTCCTTCTCAGTTTTCCAAGCTGAAGACCCTCAGTGTGAATCTTTCTTACCTGACCCACTCCAGGCCTCTCATTACTGTTCCTGCTTTTTACTTTTTCTAGTTCTACTATTTCTGTTTTGAAATGGGGAACCAGAACAAGATGAATAATTCAAGACAAGTTCTCTTCCCAGTAATTCTAGACCCTCTCTGCTTTTGACTGCTGCTGAGCACTGAACTCACGTGTTCAGTTGTTTGTATCTCCACAGGATTTGGACAGAACCAGCATGTGAGTCATGAAAAGAGGTTTCAGGAACCTTCACTTTGGTGTCATGTAGGTCAAGTTTGATTCTGGAGTTGTTAGTCATGGAAATCCCACAGGAACCAATGGTTATTCTCACCATGAGGTCACTTGGATTCATATGGGAAAAGCTGTTCTCATTTTGGCTAAAATATGCTCAGCACTGATTTCTTTGTTAGGAGCTGGTGTGCTGTGAGAAGGGTGTGCTGGGAAGCTGACTGCTTCTGTGAGCAGCTGGGAGACAGTGTCACATCTGGTAAACTGCACATACTATATATATAAGCAACTCATCAAGTAAAGAAAGGAGGAGAGTTTCCTGAAAGACATGGGAATTGCAAAGGTGTTGTTTGCTGATGGAACTCCTGTGGCAGGAAGTCACTCTGTGAAAGCAGCAACTCCAGCACCCCATCAAGGGATCCTGGGCTTGGGTAATTTTGGAACATAAACTAGAACTGCTTCCTTCAGCAAGACACCTGCAGATACCTGATCTGTATGTGCTGTGCTGGGACACCAGAGCTTGGCTGGAGCCAGTGATGTAATTTAATTCTCACCTCACCTGCTCAGTGAATTCAGCCAAGTCGCTTGTCTGAAAGGAAAGGAGAAAGGCAGATGTCTGAGCGAGGGAGGGTGAGACACAGCTATCTGTTTCCAGTAGGCCAGCCATCCCAGCATGGAGTTGGTGAGGAGGGGTTGTGATCAGAACAGGGAAGTGGCAGGTGCATTCATTTAAAACAGAAAGACATTTCAACCAAACTAAGAACTTGGAGATACACATAAAGAGGCAGATGAATTGAATCTGGGAGGTTAGCAGCTGAAGACAGCAGGGAAATGAATCAGAGGTAGGGACAAGCCTTTTCCCTTGTGCTTCACTTTCTCCCATGTTTTCCTTTCCTTCCTTAACCATGTGTTCTGTTGGGTCCAGGTGAGCTGATTGTCACAACTGTTCGGTGAAGGACAGATGCAATGCATCTCGGACATCACTGTTACAGGATTTAATACCTCAGAGATGTAAATTCCTGTTCTTTCAGGCAGAACATTTCAGAAGACCAGTGGAAGGTTCCATCCCTATGCACTCCCCACATCCACCACTCGGTCCAAGGAACCATAATGGGCTCTATCCTTTAGTGGCTGGAGAACCAGCTGGTCGCTCACAACGGGTGAGTCTCACCAGCCTCTCCATGGGCTATCATGGAATCACAAACAGCTGGAAGTATGCACATGGATCTGTGACACCTGTGCTTAGTCCAGAGCAATGTCTGCCCTGACTGTTCTGATTTAGGACTTCATCCTTAATTACATGAGGCTGATTGCCGGTTTGGAGAGTTCTGTCATTAAAGAGGCATCTACAGAAGTCAGTACTGCAGGAATGGCACATCAGAACCTAGGGGGGAAAATAATCTTTGCTTTGTTATAAAACTGCTTCAATATTTCCCTTCTGGCAGCCTCATGACCTGAGGTTGGGCCAGGATCAGTGTTGAGCATTGTCAGTGAATCCCAGGGCTGTAGGCATGGCTACACATGTTGTAAAGTCCTGAAAGTGCTGGAATCTTTTAGAAGGGGTGAAATCAGACTGGAACTCATTCCAGAGGGCTGTGCTCTGGAGCTCTGGCTCAGAAGCCTCTTACTCTCTGTTAACAGCAGAGAAGGGATGATCATATACTCTTGAAATATAATGATACTAAAGCCTTAGATCAAAGGTCAGCCATGTAGTTGAGTTTTAGCTGGCTCTCCATGGCAATAATGATAATTAGTGCAGATTGAAGAGAAACTTTCAAGCACTGAATGATCTTCTTCTCTGAATACAGAGGGCACCTGTACCTGCAGTTGATTATGGTGGTGGACATCCTCCTCACCAGCACCGACCCAAAGAGCCTGCCCCCTCTAAGGTGGTGAGTTCCCTCAGTTAAACACTGCTGCTAGGCTTCAATATTTTAGCTTGGTATTCTGAAGGGTATGCAAGGAAAAGATAAAATAAAAAATGCCAGAAAAGGCTGAGTATTGAACAAAAACAGGCATGTGTTTGTTGTGTATTCCCTCAGTGTCCGTGTGCTGAAGTCTACAGCACACTGCTGCAGTTTCTGTGAGTTCATCATGTTTTCTTCAAGGCTGCATGGTGAAGAGACAGCAGCAAACCTTGTATTTATGGCCAAGAGTTGTTTGGGATGCTTAGCCAGAGATGCCTAAAGGAGTCTGGCTCTTTGGAGGCAGACTGGAAAATGTCATGTCCTGGAGGCACCTGAAATCACTTGTCACTTCCAGAGGTCTTCACCAGTGCTAATTTATCTTTGTGGTGCTTCTCTGCACTGGAAGCTGTACACTGAGACTTTGTTTCTTTTTCCTTCTGTAGAGTTCCTGGCGCCCAAATACAGCTCCAGGGAATATGCAGCCGCCACTTCGCCTCCAGCCCCTCCGCAGCTGGGCAGTAGCAGGACCTGTACCCAAGGCTCCCAAACACAAGTATCATGCACTGGAACATGGCCAGCAGTTTTCCCCTGGGGTGAGACTGTATTTCATTCTGAAAACAGTATCACTTTAGGGATCGTTTTATAATGCTGCTTTAATGTTGCAGTTCCCAGAACTGTGTATTGCAGGGAATATCCTTCCAAGTGACATCAGCTTTTGTTTGAACTCTCCTTTTTCACCTCCCCTAAATTGTCAAGATATTGTCTTACTGGTTACTGCCCAGTTCTTGATCAGAGTGAGGAGAAATGTGGTGACTTGTCTTTCATAGCATGAAATCTCTGTGCATATAATTTTTTCTCCCTCTAAATAGATTTTCTGTTACGTAGAGAGTGAGACAGAAACCTGGCTAACACCAGGAACTCAGGAACATTTTCACTTACAAGTCTTACAAGTTTTCATCTTCATCTACAGCTGCAAAGTAGCAAAATCCTTCTTTTTTTAACCATTCCTCCCACTAAGTCACGCTAGTAGGTCCAGAGAATGAGAGACAAACAAGATCCTGCTATGTACATGTTTATTTTCAAGGGATATTTGGACTCGTCTTCTGTTCTGGAAAAACATAATGTAATTGGCTGTGTGATGTGAGTTCCATGGAGTGGGAAGATTTTGGAGTGGAACTGTAACCTGCTACCCCTGGGTGGCAGGCACTGTGTGAATAGCTGCTGTCTGCTCTGCTTTTGCTCTGTGTTGGAATGGTCATGATGCTTTCTCCAAGAATTTGCTGGTGCTGTCTATGACTACTCAAACTATGGGCGATTTAATGGTTTCTTTAATGCTCACAACAGATGAAGCAGCTAAATCTAGTGTAGGCTATGAGAACATGATGCAGAACTTGGAGCCAGAGCATGCAGTGTTTGCAGAACTTGTTTACAGGCCCTCTGCTTACATTTCATTCTGGAGGAGAGCTAAACCACTCAAATAGGAAAGCAGCTTTTGGAACCACATCTTGTATAACTGATGCCAAGTGATGTTCCTGTTGGATGACTCTGGCTGCTCTGGGGTGTGCTTGCCAGCTGCAAGAGGGCTGTGCAGGGCTCTGTCTGGGGTCAGAGCTCTGCAGGGCTGCAGGCAGGCTTTGGTTTGCAGTGCTAGTTATATCTCTGAGGCTGACATTTACAAGCAATCTGCATGTTGCTCTGCAAATTAAAATAAAGGGTTTTAACACAGAAATGTTTTCATGAACAAAATTGCAGGCCCCATTAGGGAACTGTTGTAGACAGATGTGTGTTGCTAAATGTACTGAGCAGTCAGACCATAGCCAGTTCCATATGTTCTGCAAAACAAGTGTCACCTGGTTAAAATGTTTTTGCAGGGGGAGAGGAGTGGGTTGAGGCCTATGAATTCAGTGGAGTACATGACTGGTGTATCCCCATATCAGCTGCCTGTCATCAACCCCTGCGTGGTGCCAGTGCCACCGCCACGCCTGCACAGAGGGGACAGGAGTGTCCCTGCAGGGAGAAGTGGGGTGCCCACAGGGAGAAGGTTTCGTCCCACCACTGCATCAAATGACACAGAGCAACTTCTAACAAAGGCAAGTTTTCTCTGTCCATGTATAGGTGTATTACCTTCCTCATTGGTCTGTTTGCCTAATGCTGAAAGATTGAGTTTGCATAAAGAAAATGTATAACTATTACCAAATATAACTGCTATACATGTCTCTGTATACTAAAAGATTTGGTGTTTTTCATCAGCTGGAGAGAAAAAAGGTGATGAACAAAATCCCATAGGAGCTGTTACTCAAAGCCTTCCACTTCAGTCAATCCAATTCCCATCGAGCTTCAGGGATATGGGCAATGCCTCGTGTGCATGAACACTGCATCCGTTACACTGTATCTCCAACCAGTTTTGACTTCTGCAAATAAAACTGTAGGAATCCAGGTCTGGGAGGGATGATATGGGTCATTGAATGTGGTTCCTGCCATTTGGGGCTGTTCAATACCATGGACCTTTGGCTTGAAATATTTCCCCACCCTTCTGCATGTTAGAACATTTCCCAATTTAATCAGCTCAGTGCCTGTCAAAAAAGCCTGGAAGCCTCAAGTGTGTGTTGCACAGATGTGAGTTTTGTGTTCACCTTTTTCTGGAGCTGGAAGCTGAAGGCATTTCTGTGTGTCTCCTGCAGCAGAATTCTGGAGGGCTTCCCAAGTCCTCGTTGCGCAGTAATGCCTTTGTCACCATGGTCTACCTGGGGAAGAGTGTGCACTTGTGTCATGATGATGCTGACTACAGAGATGAGGTCAAAGTCTACCAGCAGCACTGTGGAGGAGAAAACCTTTGTGTCTACAAAGGCAAGCTGTTGGAAGGAGGTAAGGATAGAGTCAAAGAGTTCATATTGATTCTTTTTTGGCTAAAACTCTGCTGTGACCCCAAAATGATTTCAGCTGAGCTCAGCCAAGATACATACACCCAGAGATTTTTATACCATATGCCCCCACACTAAATCTGGATCTGCAGTTCTATGGCTGAAAGTGAAGTTATAATTGCTTTTTGCCAGTGGTGGTAGAAGGAATTTAGAGAACTAATTTAACAAAATAGTGTAGCTTAGATTGATTTTGTGTAGAGATGTGTGGTTAATGGAGTGGTTCCAGCAGTAAACTGTCCTTAAATAGGGCTTGTCTGAGTGGCTAAAATACATCAGTGCATGTTGCTTATTATTTCAGAAGGAAAAGTACATAGTGGGGGCCAGTACCCAACTCTTTCATGTGAGTGCAATTCCATCGCACCAGTACCAGGTGAATTGAGCTCTGGGAAACTGGACACAAGAAATGGCTGGGAGGCTCTAGCCTCTGTTCTGCTGTAGCAGCAAGTGGACAAATTGGCAGTGTGTTCACCTGTCCTAGCTGTGCCCAGCCTGGGTCCTGGGGGCTGGCAAGAGCCAGGGCTGTGTGTGTGTGGGGGCAGGGCTTGACCAGCTGATGAACACAGCCCATCACCTGTCTGCAGAGGCCTGGGTGCTGTGGTGATGCAGGTGAGATACAGAAATTGCCACAGGCTGACAGTGAAGTGGAATGTTTTTATTCTGAACCCTTTCCTTTCTGTGCTTGCAGAGACCTTCCAGTTTGTCTCCAGGAGGCACCACGGCTTCCCATTCAGCCTCACCTTTTTTCTCAATGGGATGCAAGTTGACAGGCTGAGCTGTTGCTGTGAGTACAAACATCAGAAGCGTTCCCGGCTGGGCAGCAGGCACAGATACTTCAGTTTTCTCAGTGTGGAGGGAGCATCTCCTTGCTACAGGTATGGAGATGAGTACACTTTGCTCACAGGGGCTGTTTTTAGAGAGTTTCTCCCTTGTTTCCACTTCTTTCATCCCGCTGGCTCCCCACAGCTCTGTGGAGCCTGCTCTGTCTTTCAGCACACTGTGGAATGTGCAGGATGGAGGTTACTCGTCAGGGTCTTACATCCAGGGGTGCCAGCACAGTGGTTCCCTGTGCCTCACCAGTCACCCTGTGGTGTGTGCACAGCAGGGACAGTGTGTTGGCTCTGTTGGTGTGCCGGAGGTGGCTGAGCACAGGGCAGTGTGTGAGAGGAACATGTGCCACTCGTGTGTCTCTGGCGGAAGTGGCAGTGAAACAAATACAAAAGTACTGCTCAGTTAGCTGTGGTTTTCAGAGGCAGTTTTGTGAGAACTGGTTTTTGAGCAGCTCTGCCTCTGAGGTGTGACTCTGTTGTGGGATCCTCAGCTGCAGAATAAGGCAGCGCTGAACGCTGGACATGGTTCAGAACTCAAATCTATGCAGAAAGGTCTTGGGTCCGGGAAAAGTCAGTGCGGTGCTCAGCAGCTGTGCTTCTGCCAAGAAACTTTTAATTTTTGTAAAATCTTCCTTTTCTGTGATTGTAAATTCAGGCCAGACGTGTAAACTTCTGGACACTTGGGTAATTTAAAAACTTTTGTGTTTTTAATAACTTCTAAAAGAGCAGCAAGCAGTTGGAAGCAGAGACCTCCACAGAGCTGCACTCTGGTCCTTCAGATAAAGATTGCATTATAGGAAAAAAATCCTGCTTTATTGTACCATATTTTTTCACTCCAGTCTAACAATGAACGTGAGTTATGTAAATGTATTACCTGGTGTATTCAAAGGAGTGAAAAGCATCTGAATTAAGAATTGATAGTAGCTACAGAATTTAGGAAATGCCCATATCTGGGCTTTATGTGGTTTCTAGAAAGATTGGAAGTGAATTTTCTGAATGTAATATAGCTCAAAAATCTGTTAATTCCTTCCTGAGTCACCCCTTCTTTCTGTCCCCTTTCCCTCGTATTCTCAGTGATATCGCTGCTTTCCTGCCTGTTGCCAGTCCAGCTGACCTTACCTGGTAACTAAAAACCATCCAGGTTCATCCACTGCTGATAACAAGCTGAGCTCACTGTGCCAGCTGCCCTCCATTGTTCTCAGGAATTAAAATGTGATACTTTCCATTTTGTGCTGTTTTACAGGTGCATTATTGCAATGGGTCTGGACAAAAAGCCATCTCCTTCCAAGAGGAAGATGAAGGACCGTGAGGAAAAGCAGGAGAGTTCCTGGGGAGATGCCGTGCACAGTGAGCCAAGTAACAGCAGTGTAGAGCAGAAATCAAGGAAAAATTCACTGTTGGTCATCTTACCAGCTCTTGAGGCAAGTGTGGAAACTGTTGAGGAAAAACCAGAGACTGGAGGCGAGAATAGAAATGAAGAAAGGAAAACCCAATCTGGTCATGAGAGCGAAGAGAGTCAAGAAGACATCAGTAAACATGGTACAGTATTCCCAAACACAAACGGGAGGAGAAATGGGAGAGGATGATTCTGGAGAAGCTATAGGATTGTGTGCCTCAGACTTCACCTGGGGCATCAGAAATGTGGTGATGTCTGTGTCTGGGCAAGAGAATTAGTGGGGCTAATAGTGTGGCTGCTTTCAGCCATGCAATGGGATGAGATAGTTTGCAAGAGCCAAGAAAGTGAGTAAGGAAGGATGATGACATGGGTTGCCCAGAGCAGCTGTTGCTGCCCCATCTCTGGAAGTGTTCAAGGCCAGGTTAGACAGGGTTTGGAGCAGCCTGGTCTAGTAGAAGGTGTCTTCTACAATGAAAGAGTTGTCAAGCTCAGCCTCTGCCTTTGCTCACTCCTTATCACAGTCTTCTTTAGAGGCAATCACATTTGGAGACAGATTTTAATTCCTACTTTCTACTCCTATTTTTACTTTGACAATTCCACAGTGTTACTGCTCAGCTGCCTTGTTAGTCCTGCTGGATGTGTGTCTGCGATTAATTAACTTTACTTCAGGAGGAGCTACCTTTCTGACAGTTACCTAAGGAGGCCTCACTGCCAGCAATGCAGTAGGAATCTCAGTTGATTTTTAATACAGAAAATAAATCTCCTTATTCCCTGAGTTCCCATTGTCTGGGTAATTTTTTATTTGCCTAATTGGTTCTGCATGAGGAACTCTTAATTTCTGCCCTTGGCATTCTGTCACTTTGGTGTGTTAAAAGCCCTGATGGCTGGAAAGGAGAGGAGCAATAAAATCTGTGAGGAGACAATGATGGCCACGAGGGACAGCTGGTGTGGCAGGAGTGACAGCTCACCTGCACAGTGCAGGTGTGTTCCCTCACTGCTGTGTCAGTGGAGTGACTGGATTTTAGGTGGGAACCACTGACATGCCTGTGTGCTCTGCCTGGTGTGTGCACAGCGCAGCCTTGGCAGGGAATGGGAGTGTTCTTTAATGAAAAGGGTCTTTGCCTGCAGATCTGAGCAAAGTCATCTCTCAGATGTCACAGCCTGTCAGGCAAGTGCCTGGCTGACTCCCAGACATGGGGAAGCATCAGTGGTGGTTCTGTGCAGATTGCTTTGTGCTGGGATTTCCCTTGGGCCCGAGGAGCAGTTAGAGCAGTGTGACAGCAGAGACTCTGCAGCGCACTTGGGCTGGAGTTAGTCAGATTCACCGAGTTTGCAAGACACTTCTTTGCTATTTAGCTATGTCAATCTACGTTTGTCACATGCTACAATGTTACCTTTCTCCAGCTTTCTTGATTGCTTGCAATTTTTTTTCATTGTAACATATTTTTCTCTGCTAATAAGAGATTGTTGCATTTAACTTTGGAGTTTGCCCAGCCCTTAATTTTTCTAATGCTTTCCATGGCTAATAATTTTGTTTGATTTGTTTTAATGTATTGACATAGTCAGTGCTGCATTTTTGCTACTCTTTCTATGAAGAACATGGTGCTTTTTTTTGGTGATAATGAGCTCTTACAATTCCTATCTGTGGTCAGTTTCTCTCATGACTTTAAACAGACTCAGCAAATGCAAGGGCAAAAGGAGATTAGTGAAGTTAACCTCTGTCTGCTTAAAAAGAACTTTATTAGTTGTGAATTCTGATTCCTGTCTCACAGTACAATTCTATTTTAGAGTATGATGAAGATTTTGAAGCAGATGAAGAAGTTCATGAAGAGGGACAGACTGGTGACCAAACAAATGGAATGTCAGAATCATCCTCAGATGATAGAAACCTTAATTTAGACCATGGAAAGGAGGGTGAAAGCTCATCCCAGAAGGTACTGCAGGCCTCTGGCAGCGAGAAAGATGAAAGGGAGGGGTATTCTGACACGGACTCTGAGGATGATTGGCAAGGTTGGTTTTGTTCATAAAGCTTAGGGAAGCTGACCTGATGCATGTTTTACAGCCTGTGTGTGTCTAGTATGCATGTTGGGTCTGCATGGGGAAAGCCATGCAATTCCTACTGAGATGGAAAGAGACAGCTGTTGTATCTTAGTTCTCCATCTGTCACTGAAATGCAGGTAGCCCTGGCAGTGTGAGTGTGCCTTTGCTGAGCTAGCGAGGTGCTGGAATGGAGATGAGCCAATGAGCAGGCTGGGTAGGTCAGCACTCCTTGGCCATGACCCCTTACACCTTCTGAAGGGGTGCACATCTACCTGAGAGGTGTCAGGAAACCTGACCAACCACCCTGGGTTCCAGAAGTCCTGTCTTTAAAGGCCCTGAGTATGGCCCTAATGTCTCTGATTGTGACAGAGCTTGAGAAACCATATGATTATCTGAGAGGGAAGCACTGTAGAGGAAGTCCTTTGGATTTTCCCATGGTGGAGGTCTTTAAACTGTGGCCGTAAGGTTTCTTGGTACATGTTTTTCTGAATGTGCAGTTCTGTATGGATGACAATTCAGGCATGTTTACCCACTCAGCCTGACTGGATTTTTCTGCCTTGGGTTTCGTCAATCTCTTCCTAAACCTCTGTGAACTGTGGGCAGCAGCAAGGCTGTGCAGTAGTCAACTCTGTTCTTCAGCTTGGTGTTAGATGAAGCATTACTGCCTTTTCCCCCTTCAAATTGTCCATAAATTTCATATGATGGTGTCTGTATGGTTTTTTTGAAGGAGTCAGTGAACTTCATCTCCAGTTTGATCTGAACGGTTTACACATGGTTTTGGAGATCTTTCTAACATTCACTGAGCTAACAGGAGTGGTTGAAGTCTTTTCACAAACAGAGCTCAAGAATCTGTGCTAAACCCTGTCTGAGTCATATTCAGAGGTGCTTTTGGAGGTGTGATTGATAGAGATAATTTGGGTCATTTTCATTATCTGAAAAACCCCATGTTAAATGGCTTTAATTTTAACAGTTGATACCTCTGGACAATGTCCTTCTATTAGACTTACTGGAATGTTGTCACAATATCCTCAGAGGGTGTAATTCAGAGATTGCCATCAGCTGAGCTTCTGTCCCTTTGTGCCCAGCAACGAGAACCAGCACCTAGTGAATGCAGATGTTTAGTGGCAAGTACTAAACCCAAATGCTGTTTGCTGCTTGCAGAGAGGCCTGCAGACTCCCTCTCATCCATCAGCACCCAGTGCAGCACTGAAGGGGACTCTCACGCTGAGACGATGCCAGATGATGTGGATGGCAAAGAGGAGTGTGAGATCACAGGGACATCTGATAGCACAGCACGTGCACAGTGTGGAAATGAGATTGGGGAGAATAAACTGCTCAGAATGGAGAAAGATCAGGAGACTTTTGCACTGGAAAAGGAAGAAACAAATGAAGCAGAAAAGGCAACGCCAGAAGATTTAACAGCAAGGAAAGATACTGGAATTTTTCATGAAACTATAATGACAATACAGCATAACAGTCCTGAGGTTAATGGGGAGCTCAGACAAGCTGGGTCAGGAGAAAGCAATGTGGATGATGAGGTGGAATGTCTTCCAGTGCCTTGGGAAAGCAGGATGCTGAATATGGAGGATGGCAATGAAGAGTGTCCTCAGAGTGAGGAAGGAGGTGGTGAGTACAGCCCCTCTACATTGCTCTGAGTGACTGGTGCGTGCCAGTGCTGCTGTGTTTGCCTTTGTACTCAGCCATGGTGCAGCAAGGGGGGAGCTGCTGGACTGTTTTAAAGCTGCTGGAATGCTCTGTTCTCCTGTGAGCTCAATAACACTCAGAATGTAACCTTGGCTTGGTGTTTCTCTGCTAGTGTTTCCAGTGTAAGGCTTTCTTTTTACTCCAGGCATTTGGTTTCACATGTCATGCAATGATTATAAAACCCAAACGTGACTTTTAAACCATTTTAAACCGAGCTGAGATGGCTGGATGTCTTCTGCACTCCCCTTTTGCTCTTTAATGGTTTCTCTTTCTTGCTTCCTCATTTCTAACTTTGTAATAATTTTTGAAGATTGCAAACCAGTCTGGGAGGAAATAGCAAAGGCAACTGGAAATGCTCATCCTGTGAATTCTGACCCTGAACCTGGTGATTTCCATGCAAATGAGGAAGAAGAGAACACAGCCAGTACAGAGTGTGATGCCAGTGGAGGTGAGGTTGGCTGTCAGTCAGGGACAAGGATTAAGTCTTATTCATTTTTACAGAAGCCTTTGTCCTTTACCTTTCCTTTGGCTATCAAACCCTCCTTGTGGTTTTTTGTTTCCTAACTTGTATAGAATTGGGTGATGACTAGCTGGCTTCTACAGTCATGTACAATTAATGGTTTTTTGGCAGTTAGAATGGTCTTAGGAAAAGAACACATGCCATGAAAACAGTGGCTCTGAGTCAGAAAAGTAGCTGTGGAAAGCAGGAACCTAGTGAGGTTCCCTGTGCTTCCAGGTAGTGTGGGGCCTCCTTGGGAAATACCTTGATTCCCAGGAGCAGGAATCTGCTCTGTGTTATTCCCCAGTGTAATTACAGAATCCATGGGAAGCAATTACCCATTTTACATGAGCAGCTGAGTGTTCTTCCTGTGAGTGCATATTTTACATGAGCAATTTGCCACCTATTTTTGACTTTCTGAATTTCACTGCCAACTTACAGGTGTTTCACGTGCACCTGAGCTCTCTGCAGGCAGGCAGGGAGGCAGGTCAGGCAGGACTGGCAGAGGTGAAAGCTGGCCTTGCATCAACATTTTTGACCTAAATTTGTTATGCCAGATGCCAGAACAGCCACACTAGAGACACAGTCAGAGCCCAGGGGTGTGATGAGAAGCAGCACAGCAAGTTTTCCTTTGGTCCCCATGCTGGTGTCCCTCATTGCTGGGCAGAGATGGCACCTTTAACACTAAACCTGTAAAACACGTAACACTGACACGATGCTCAGTAAAACCAATGTTTGATTATTCCCTAACAGCACCAGATGGAGGTTCCTCGGCAGAAGGGAGGAGAGGCCTCGATGTGCAGGAGGCAGCAGAACCAGCAGTACAAAAAGGGCAGGTGGCAGAGCAGAGACAAACCCTGGAGCAGGATGGTGCTGCTGAGGGAGGAGATGCTGTCAGTGAAGAAGCCAGAGGAGAAGCAGCATGGGCAAGGGATTCACTGCCCCAGGCACACATGGGGGCTGTGCTGAAGGAATCCACACCTGAGGAAGGCTCTGTGGCAGAGGAACATCCCAAAGGAAAGGGGACAGGGGAGGGAGTGGAGTTGGGCACAGAGGTGGCACCTGGGGAGCAGGAGGTGCTGGTGGAGGGGACAGAGAACCAGGCAGCACCAGGAGAGCTGGCACCTGGGGGTGAGGGGTCAACTGGGACACTGCTGGGCTGGGAGGCAGACAGAGCCATGGCCAAAGGACAGGAGGGGACTGGAGTTGTCACTGAGGAGAAGGAGGCTGCAGAGGAAGGCCCTGAGGGAGCAGCAGGGCTACCAGTGGAGGATGTGGTGGGTGAGGTGGTGTCTGAGGTAGGGGAGTCCCTGGGGGAGGGAGAATCTGCAGGGAAGTGTGCTGTGGTGGGTGCTGTGTTGGAAGGAGAGAAGGCTGTGGAGAATGCTGACCTGGCAGGAGAAGGGATTGCTGGGGTCGTTGTCCCTGAAGGAGAAGAGACTGTTGAGGAAGACGTTTCTGAAGGGGAGGAGGTTGTGGCGAAGGCCAAAGCTCTTCTGGAAGCATTAGGGGATGTGGAAACAGAAGAAGCAATGCCTGTGGGGAAAGGGTTTGTAAAGCCAAATGAGTTTTCCCAGCTGAAAGCATCGGGAGAAGAGCAGATGGAAGTGGAGAAAGCTGCTGCAGGAGCAGCAGCACTTGAGAATGGCCAGGCATGGGAGGTGGGAGGTAGCACTCTCCAGAGAGTGAAGGATGTGGTGGAGTCACCTGTGGAGCTTGGGAAGGGTCCTGTGCTGGATGTGGCACCTGGATTAGGTGCACTGGGGGTTGCTGAGGGGGATCCCATCAGTGAAGGGTCATCTCAGGTAGAGGAGACCCCAGCAGTGCAGAAGGAGGGCAGCACAGTGGGAGCACCTTGGAGTAGAAACCTGTTAGTGGGGAGCAAGGCAGAGACAGAAAGCACAATGGAAGGAAAACGTGGTGGAGAGGTAGTGGTGGGGTCTGGGAATGTGTCTGGAGTGGAGTCAGCAGATGGAGAGGAGGCCACTGGTGGAGAAGCAGGTCCAGGGGAGCCAGCAGCTGGGGTGGAGCAGTGGCTGAGGTGTGGACAAGAGAGAGGGAAGGGGAGGCCTGCTGAGGAGGGGACAATGGGTTCCCTGATGCTACCTGCCCTGGGACTGTGCATGAACCGGGCAGGGGAGGCTGGGCTGGTGGCCATAGCCCTGATGGGTGGCCAACCAGGGCGAGGTGCTCTGGCTGAGGAAGTGGCTGGAGAGCTGGTGGTGGCCAGGGGGGCAGCAGTGGCTGGGGGGGGGGGGGGGGTGGTGCTCGGGGGGGGGG